ACCCATTCCCATTCCCCATTCCTACCTCCTCCCCCAGTGTTCATATACTGTTCTATTTTGTATGAGTTAATACTTTCCATGGTCATCATTTATATTATTAATTTTTTTATTTTGGAATAAATTCACAAGCTAGAGGGAAAGATTTTGATACTTCAGAAGTGAATGACAATATGAACTATGACCATTTATAAGTTCATATGACAGAAAATGAACAAAGGAAAGCTCATTAGATATAAAAGAAAGTAAAAAAGTATACATCTTATTCTTTATACTTACATATATAATATCAAATTAGATTACTTATAGAATGGCCTTTTCACTCACTGAATTTATTAGGAAATGGGTCAATCTCACTTGCATAAGGTTATCACCTTAGTCTAGAACAAAATGTCTTCACTGGAGAAGCATAATAAACACACCTTTCCGTGTGTACCTGAGTTGACCCCGTCTCTACAAAATAATAAAACAAAGCAAACAAACACATGACAAAAAGAAAAACAACCAGGAACAAATCCTTGCCTTGAGTTCACTTAGATTCTTAAACCCTGACTACTTGATTATGCACAAGGCTTTCAAACAGGGCTTCCCCTGTGGCTAATGACATGACACAAAGAAGTTTCTTTAGTTTCATTAACTCTATATTTCTCATAATAGGTACTCTAGAATTTATTTTATATAAAAATACATGAGACAAAACTTTATGCATTGGCAAAACAATAAAAGATGATGCTTGTTTTAACAGTGTCACTGAAATACAAAATATAACAAAATAAAATCCACTCATTTCACTTATCCAGACCTCATCTTTGTCAAATATCCACATTCATGTTCTCACCATCACAATAAAGTATAAAACCTTTGTGCTAAGTTCCCTTATGCCCTTTGGTGGCTGGTAACTTCTGTCACCGGCTCCACACCCTGAGAAGCTTTCTGTAAACAACCATTTCAAACTTTTTAGGATTCCACAGACAAGTAGAGTCTGCATTGGATTTTTCCATAGAAAGTGATGTATTGAAGATTTCTCCTTGATTCTGCATGTACTGACACACCACATAACTTTTATCCAAGTTAGATTTACTACAACTCAGAGGTCAGTCCTCTGAGTTTTTCATGGACATTTAGGTGGTCCTGAATACTGCTGCCATGAACCTTCAGTCTTTGTGTGAAATAGGCTTTTATCTCTATTGGATAGAAATACATGAGGAAAACTATTTAGTCTTATATGAATTTGTCCAACTTTATAGGAAAAATTTGTTGAATTCTCAACAAATTAAACTTCATCTATAATAAACTTCTTTCTGTTTTACATTTTTTAGTGTAGCTAGAGAGATAACTTAATGGTTAAGAGCTTATACTGCTTTTGCAGAGACCAGCATTTTGTTTAGGGGCAGTTGTACACTGTGTGAAGATATGTTACTGTAATTGATGTAATAAAGAGCCAAAGGGCTAATAGTTAGGCAAGACAAAATAGGCAAGACTTCTGAGCAGAGAGAGGGAAGAATAAAGGGGATTTTCCAGAGAGATGCAGGGGAAGTAGGACATACAGTATAGAGATGAGGTAAGGAGCCACATGGAAGAATGTAGATTTAAAAATATGGGTTAATTTAAGTTATAATTGCTAGTTGATAAGAAGCCTAATCTAAAGCCAAGTTTTTACAATTAATGGAAAGTCTCTGTGTTGTTATTTTGGAGCTGGCTGTTGGTACAAAGAAAGACTGATTACAGAGTTTGTTTCCCAGCACCTGTATCAGGTGGCTCACAACTGCCTGGGGGATCCAATGATGCTGGCCACTGTGGACACCTGCACACATGAACATAACCCATAAACATATGATTTAAAATGATAAACATTAAAAGTTCAGAATCAATTTTTACATGTTTAGTCCTTTGTGTGTATGCTTATATATTTGTGTGTCCCTGTATTGTCATGCTCATGTGCTCATGTATGTATATGTGTGTGCCTGTGTGCATGCACAGGTGTTTGGAGGCCTGAGGTTGACATTGAATTTCTCCCTCAATTACACTTCATCTTAGTTTCTGAGACAAAGTCTCTCTCTCTCTCTCTCTGCCTGATGTTCACTGATTTGGCTAGTTGAGACAACAGATCCTCTGTCTCCTCCTCAGTGCTGTGATTACCGAAGTACATGGCCATGCCCAACTTTTAAGTGGATGCTGGGAGTCTGAGTCCTGGTTTCATAAAAACACTTTCCTGATGCTCCCTCTCTGCCCCCACACCTGCCTACTCTCATTTCCATAGCATACGGTCTTAATTTGCTACACTAAGTCCCAGCATGAAATAGTTTTGTTTCAGTCTAACAGTTTTCCTTCTCCTTTCAAACCTGTTGTGGCTATTTTAGGCTATTTGTATTTTCAAATAAAATGTATAAGAATGGTTTAAACTTCTAGCATATTCTTTTGATAAGTTGGTATTTCAGATGAAATTTCATTAAATCTGTTGTGCAATTATATAAAAATTAATAATTCCAGCAATGAGGAGTTTTTAAACCCTTTAATATGATATGTTTCTATTGTTCTGTTAAATTGCCTTCATTACTTCTTTTCAGTAATAATTTTTCACTTTAGTACAATGTCATGCATATATATTGTAACTTTTATTCCTAGTAAGAAACACACTTTGTGTTGTGAATCTAGTCACAATTTTGCCTTCCTTTCTCCCTTTTCCTTTTTAAGAAACATAATTTACTGGGTTTGGGTGGGGTGTGGAAATTTTTGTATATTTTCCTTATAGATTCAAGTTACTATTTTTTTCATTCTTTTTATTCACATATTTTTTGAATTACTCTATGTGTGGAAGTTTGCTTTCTTTAATATTTTCTCTCTTTGTTTCTGATGGGATAATTTCTATTAATCAGTAGTAAAACTGATTTATCCCCTTCTACTTTCTCAAATCAGCTATTGTTCTCATTCTGTTTGTATTTATTTTATGTGAATGGTCATTTGCCTGTATGTGTGCAAGTGTCTTCATCACCCAGGAAGGCTCAAAGAGGACATTGTCCCATAAAGAAGACAAATACAGGAAAGAAATTTCAGTCTCTTTTATTTAATCTTTGTCCAGCCATTGACCAAGAACATCCTAGAAGAAAAGCCTTGGCTCAAATGTTGCAGCATACTGTGTTAGTGCTTCACACAGAGGTCTACATTGCACAGTGACAGCAAACTCTTCCCTTGAAGAGACCTGAGCAGTCCTCTACATCCTTGAAATTAATAGGAAGAAAAAGAGACAAAGTGAACTAGCAGAGAAAGAGAGCTGGCATCAGAAAAATTGAATCCAAAAACCACCTGGCATACAGTTGCTTTTAAAATTGAGATGTCATTCAGCATTTCTTACTATCATTTTAAGTATATAATGTGAGAATGACAATTATCTTTTGCTTACCCATTGAACAAATGAGTAAAATTATTATGAGAAGTAAATGGTACAACACTTGGGAAGCACCTAATAAAGGGTTTAGCAGATAAATGTTCAGAGAATACATGAAAGTAACAAATTGCCTTAATTTTTGCTTTATGAGAGCTAAGAGACTCCACTCCCATCGTTGATAGGATATCTTAAATAATTCTCATTCTCTTGCACATTTCATGAACAATAATGACACCATGGCAAGAAAATGACTCCTTCACCTTGGAGTGACTTCATTTTCCTTTTTGCTGATTCACAGAGTCCTTTATCCACTTTGGCATGACCGGTGTGCAAAGCCATGTGGAAAGTACATCTATTTTAACAAGTACACCATTTGGCAGCTAGTCAGCAGCTTGGCATGATTATGATTTTGGGCATAGGAACAACTACTTCTGTGGTTAAGCCATTCTCCCCAAATCCTTCTTAAACCATTTCTATTCTCTGGCAGGGTGCCATGCCTGAATCCACTCATACATGTGAGGAAGAATTGCTCCCAGTGATTTATTGAGACAGAGTGATCTTAGCTTACTACAGTAATTTTCATCTCATCTATAAGTGACCCTTTAATTTTAAGCTATTAAACATATTGTTGCAATTATTCTCTATTTCCAGAAAATTACATGATAATAATTGTCATTCTTTGCTACTATTAATAGCTAAAGCTATAATAATGACAATGGTAATAGTAAATGCATAATAGATCCTAACTCACCTTGGTTGGGTATGCTGTTGTTTATAAAGTCATAGTAATCTTGCTGTATAACAACTAACTATAGGTTGGTTTTTCACTCTTTAGAAATAAGTGCTTCTTTGGAAGTTTGCATCAAGGAGGCATTATTGAATCAGAAAACATTAACATTTTCTTTCATATGTATATGTGTGTGGTGAGCTTGTGTGTATGTGTTCACAAGTGTGTGGGTGTTCATGTACAAAGGTTCGTGTATACATGTTCACATGTGGAGGTCCAATATTGACAATCATGCACTGAGGCTAGGTCTTTCAGTTGAGCTCATAGTTTGCCTCACAGGTAGTTTGTCTAACCAGGTTGCTCTGGGGGTCATCTCTGTCTGCACATTGTAATTAAAGATACATAGCCAACATTCATGTGGGTTCTGGGTATCTGATATCCAATCCTCATGATTACATGGGTAGGCTTTAATCATTGAATCATCACTCCAGCTCACTATTAATGCTTTCAGATTTATTTATTTTATATTATGTGTATCAGTATTTTGCCTAAAGGCGTGTTTATGTAACATGTGCAATCTTAGTGCCCACAGAACCAAAAGAAGATATCAGACTCCTTGGAATTAGAGTGATTGACAGTTGAAAGACACCATGTGAGGGTTAAGAACTGATGCCAGATCCTCTAGAAGAGCAGCCATGTCTCCAGCTGCATCATTTTTAGAATTTTAAATACTTGGTATTTATTATAAAATTAGTATGTATACCACAGACATGTGTTGATAGTAATTTAGCAACCACTGACTACTGCAGAAAAAAATCAGATATTATTTTTAGTGGAGGATCCTGTCAGTGAGTAGATCATTTTGATAATAAAGATATTTTCCGCTCACTTCAATAATAATATTTGTGTAATAATACTGAAAAAATATAGAGAAGATCAGCATGGTCCCTTTGCAATGATGACATGCAAAACTATGAAGCATTCGACATTTTAGATTGTCTCATAGTAATGTCAGAAGCTACACATGTAAAATCTCACCATTGTGACTGCCTACACATGAGTTGAGCAAGGATAGCAATAGACATAAGTGCATGAGGCCTCAACTCTACACAAAATACTGCAAAAAATGTAGGAATGCTGAGAGCAGGAGAAATAGTCTTTCAAAAGGAAGAGCACACTAATTGGATATCCAATACTGAATGGTCAGCCCTGGAAATATGCATACAAGTAACATTGTGCACACTGAACAGCGTCCACTTACGTATTTCAAAATATATGTGTATATACATATACATATGTGTGTGTGTAACAACAATTCATGAATGAAGAGGCCATAAATTTGAAAGAGAGCAAGGTACAGATTATGGGAGGGTTTAAAGAGAGCAAATTGAAGAGGGAAATGACAATAATATTATACTCTCAAAAAACAAAAGAAATGGTTTTAAAAATGAAGGAAAAGATAGCACTAATTCTTTGTCCACTTGGAGGGGGCAATCCTGCACAAATAAACACAATTAAATATAAAAAAAGATATTTTTGTAATGGAAAAGAACACTTTCAATACTATGTACGCAACTACAGAAGATCAAAGCAGAGCTCATTCTGATCCTAAAATATTTTAGTTTTCTGAACTGATACATGTGGCTAGCAAATAATGAATGTTCACCTTTTGCCTTTTGTACTGGGTTAGGATTCTTGACACTGTGACAGATATCTCAGATAAATGATGTAAAAGAAGATGCATAGTCCTCATAGTTTTAGGGCCTTGGTACACAGTCATCTAGCTCTGTTGCTTTCAGGTCTTTGGGAAAGCTCAAGCAGCATAGGGGAAGACCACACACATGCTGTGTCACGTGTGTGGATTCTTTTCTACTGTACTAATGGAGACCTCTTCCTGGGAGCAGAGCACACATTTTCCTGTGGAGTTGGGTGCCATCTGAAAGCCTACTGAAATGCCCTCAGCATGAACAACATTCAACATGCACCCACTCACTTCATGCACAGTATCTGAAGCTAGACAAGTTTTCCATGGCTCCTTCTGATTTAATGCCCAGCCATTTACCCCCAATAAAACCCTGTTTTGTGGCGTGTTTCTTGGTGTTTCTATTGTAAGACCCTTCAAAGCTTGGCTTCCACCTTCTTTTCCATCTCCCCATTAAATAATGTTTCCTCAGGTAATCTCTTCCCTAAAACAACAAATTAGATGAATAAACAACTATACTGCCACCCCCCCATAATATTTCCTTAGCACTGTCATCTCAATGTACTATAAAGCATTTGGAGTATAAGTACTTAGTACATGTATTATAATGAAATAATGATAATTACCAGTACACAACATTACCCCCCACACACACACACATTTTTTTTGTTCCTGAAAAAAATAGGATTGTAGTCAAACAAACTATTCCCAAATGATGTTCTCTTAGCCTCCCTCTGTCTCCTCTCTCCTGTCCACTGGACTCAGGTTTATAGTTTTGCAACTAACAACATCTATCCCCAGGAAGTACCTCAATGACTCCCACCTACTCTTCAATCTTGGCCATGAGTTAACTGTTTTGTGTTATTTGTCCATTGTCATACCTGTGGAGTTATTCCCAGATAATTTCATCAGATAACAAGTAAAATATGATTAAATTGTATCTTAATAAATAATAATGTAAACCTTCACACCATTTGTGGAGCATCCTGTGTTTGACTGAGGAAAACAACAACAACATATAAGTGGCATGTTTATTCAGCCATCCCAGGAAGAGTGAGAACTTCCCTTATCATTGGAAAGGAGAAAGGTCCTCATCCTCCATCACTTCCCGAGCCCATGAGAATCATTGGGTATATCATACAATAATGACTGAGCGTCTATACCACTTTAGTTATGTGAGACCAGGCAAAATGCTGGGGAATAATCAAGGATACAATCTTTTCTGAGTGGTTTCTGGGCATCTAAGCTACTAATGAATACAAGTCAACATTAAACCCTTACTTTCCTTCTGTATTTTATTTTATGCTAATAATGCAGTATGGTTTCCTGTAATGCACGGTCTATCTCCTGCATGTCTGCAGTCATTTCTATCTCAGAACTTGTCACATTCCAGTACTATTAATTTTCCCATTTAAAGGATCCTCTAACCTATTATATCTTATCTCCCCTAACTCAACCTTGAGGAAATATATTTTAAGTTTGGGAATATATTCATCAGAAGCATTTGGCATAATGCTTTCTAATGGGTTTAAGTTCTTAGATTAGAATTGATCCATTAGAAATTGATCCATTAAATCCATTAGAAATTATCAATGCTTTAACTCTTGATTTTAACTTACAAAAACTATTGAGCTTTGGGGGATGTCAAAGGGCTAAGAGTTCTTTATTCCTCATTATTCTGGAAAGTTTCAAGTCAATTTTTCATTTAGTTTCCTCTCTGTTTTGCTAACCAGAATTCCAAACTTACATATTTCTCATTGTCACACCACATCTTTCAGACACTATAAATGTATGTGATCAACAGCACAACCATGCACCAGCCATTTGTCAAGTTAATAGTCCTTTTACCTTGAAAAGAAAGGGAAATATTTCTTGTTCATTCTATGTCCTCTCCAAAGATCCCTTGAACAGTGGTTGTTTCTTTCCTCTTACTATTGTTTCTCCAATGTGCTAGTCATTCCATCAGACTTTTGTATTTTACAGTCTTATAATGGAAAATTGGAGCATGGCTGTTTAATAAGATCCACCTATTACATTTTAATGTATGTTTCCACTTATCTTTAACTTCTACTTTCAACTATTATTTTATCTCAGATTTTTTAGGTCCATGTTGGCATATGGACCATTTTATTAATGATAAATAAATATGTAGTAAAGATTACAAAAACTAAAACATAATGCCAAAAAAGCTAACCAATCCCATGTCCTCAGAATAAACTCTTTTTTTATGACTGACATTTCCAGACTAAATCCTCTGGTTTTCTAAACAAATTTGGGAGTATCTAGTGGGATAATGGTTAAAACACCAAAGAAAAAACCTTGTAGCAACTCATAATGAGTTCAAATTCATTCATCTTATTTTCTACAGATGTAAAAGTAGGAAGAGATAGCTACACTCAGGAACCAGAAACAATAAGTAAGGAAGAAAACCAGGGAATAAAAGGCAAAGCCATTGTGCTCCAGCCACCAGCTACTTCCTAACAGTAAGCAATAGCATCCTAACTGTAGGAAAGGTGTGTCTGCTGAAAGGCAAGAAGGTCAAACACAGCAGGAAGAGGATTTCAATTATAAATATGGCTGTAGTGTCCAGAAATTTTTATTGTTTGTGCAGGCAATCTGGCATCTGCATGGCTTTGATATCTAAAAACAATACACATAGTTTCTTTAAAAGAAAAATTATTATTATTAATGTTGTCCTCTAGTGCATGTACACACTAGAGTTATATTGGGTATCTTAGGGGTTTCAGTAGCTGTAATGAGACACCATGACTATGGCAACTCTAATAAAGGAAAACATTTAATTGGGTCTGGCTTACAGTTTCAGAGATTTAGTCCATTACCAAATGCAGGCAGACAGGATGCTGAAGAAGGAGCTGAGAGTTCCACATCTTGATCCATGGGCAACAGGAAGGGAACTGTCCACATTGGGTGTAGCTTAAGCATATATGAGACCGCAAAGCCCGCCCCTAAAGTGACACACTTCCTCCAACAAGGTGGCACCTATTCCAACAAGGCCACGCCTCCTAATAATGCCATTCCCTATAGGCCAAGCACTCAAGCACGAGACTTTGGGAACCATACCTATTCAAACCACCTCAGTGAGTGATTAAACTTCACTGGCTTGGTTTCAGTATAAGACAGAGGTAACTGGTTTGAAATATCTCTGCATATGCACATATCCACACATAGCGTACTTCAGAACTGCCTATAAAACATAGCACTGTACTCATAGCATAGCATCTTTTAGCTCTTTCTTTCTGCCCCACATGTATGTCATTTCTTCCTCTTCATACTCTTCCCAATAACTTGCACTCATCTACACAGGGATGAGCTCAATGGAAATACCTTTTTTTAAATGGAGTTTACTTTCTGCTCAAGGACAACAAATAATCATAGGTGGGAGAAAGAGAGAAAGGAAGGAGATCATCAAAATATATAAACATTACTGTTTTAAAAATTGTATAAAGGAAGGGAACAAAGATAAACAGGTATAGTGTTTAGGTAAGGCAATAGTGAAAATCCCCATGCAGGTGACAATGGAGCAAAGCCCTGATTGAAATTAAAGGGAGGTGTGTGTGGGAAAATCCTGGAGGGAAGGAACATGCTAACTGCATTTGTTTCTGAAACCATGGACAGCTTTTGGTCACAACACCTGGAGTAAAAGGATATTAGAGAGTGGTAGAAGAATAATAATGAATAATAATATCTGAACTATAGTTGAGGAATGCATAATACAGAACTTTATCAAAAATAATTGTGGCTTTAATACGAGTGGCAGCTTTAGATACAGTATAGAAAATAAATTGTTTTGTATGCTGATGGAAATGATGAAGCCAATGATCCAGCCCTCCCCCAAACAAAAACAATTAAACAAACAAACAAACAAACAAACAAAAACCAACTGATTCATGTTTTGCTACAGAGTAGCATGAATATTAGAAAATAAAGGGAATGGGCATGTGTCAGTGGATTGTTACCTGGCCTCCTATTTCAGAGAATTCATGATCTAAGTAGATTTCATGCCTACTATTTAACACACACACACACACACACACACACACACAAACATACACACACGTATGTGAAAATACAAATACATATACTTTTTTTTCTGTAAAGTGTATCAAGTTGTTAGCTTTGGCTTCAGCATCTTCCTTACCTCCCTTTCTGATGTGCTAATTCACCTTGGTAGTGAAATCCCACTTATATTAAGACCCTTAAAATTGTCCCATGTGAGCACTTCCCATTTCCATTTCCCACTAAGGCATGAGACGTTTCCCTTCACAGATTC